TGCACAGCGTAGGAAATGGACTAAGCTTAGGAAAGAGGCTGGTAACTTAATTTGGCCAAAGAAAGGTACTTTCAATTGAATTTTTTTTTAAAAAAAAAAAGGGAAAAAAAGGAATTGATCTTTCTCCTCTTCTGTCTATTTTGCACTCACTGAGCAGGTATGATGAGATGAAAATATTCTAACTTAAGTTAACCAAAGATCTTCAATGAAAATGCCTGGCCACAGCATGTAAAACTTAAGATCTCTGTTTTTTTTTCTTTCTTTGTACATGTATGTGTATTGTCTTTGTGTCTCCTTGAGGTCATAAAATTGATGTGAAAAGATAGGTTAATGGTGCTATTAATAGCTGATCTACAGAAAAAATATGGAAAGCAATGTATTTCCCTCACTTTATCTGGTCAAGGCCTACCAAATAGCTTGGAGGCTGAGAAAAAGCGGGGGGGGGGGGGCGCAGATCAGAGGCCTTTTACCTTCCAACTCCTTCCTTCCTTTCTTTTTTTCTTTCTCTTTCTCTCTTTCTTTCCTTCTTTCTCTTTCTTTCTTTTCTCTTCCTTCCTTCCTTCCTTCCCTCTTTCTTTTTACAAATTTTATTGAATATACATTTTAAAAACAAAAATGGACATACTTCAACTTCCCTGACTTTACCAGTGCTATTAGTATTACCTTATGTTACAGAAAGAAAAACAGAAACTTAAAATATATTCTTTAACAGGACAAAGTATAACAAACTGTGTGTGTAACATCTGTAAAAATTTTGCTAAACCATCTTTCAATCGTCAGCAATTATATTTACATATCTTTCAGTTATGCCCTAATGTAAGTACTAATAAGAAGTCCTTATAATATCAACTAGTCAATCGATAATCGCCTCAGCGATCCTCCTTATCTCTAACCAATCGTACAAATTTTCCCAAATTTCATAATACTCTTTCAGTTTTATTTTTAATCTCTAGAGTTAACCTGTCCATTTCAGCGCAGGATAAAATTTTATTTATTATTTCTTCCTCAGTGGGGGTTTCCTTTCCTTTCCATTTTTGAGCATATGCCAATCTTGCTACGGTTAAAATATGCAATAGTAAGTAAAAAGATGCTTTGCTGAGTTTGTCATTAATAATCCCTAATAAGAAGATTTCTGGTTTTAAATCAATTTTTTGTAATAGTATTTCTTCCAGCCAATTTTTTATCCGATTCCAAAAATTTTGTGCCTTTGAACATTCCCACCACATGTGATAATAAGTCCCTGGAAACCTTCTACATTTCCAGCATGTTGGTGGGGTTTTTTATCTATTTTTGCTAGCCTTGTAGGGGGAAGGTGCCATCTGTAAAACATCTTGTATAAATTTTCTTTGTAGGAGGTGGCTAGTGTTAACCTCCTGTTTCTATCCCATAATGATTGCCAATTATCAAGGTCAATACTATAACCAAAATTTTTACTCCAGATTAACATTGTTTCTTTTACGTGTTCTTCTAATAAATCTTGTTCTAATAAATATTGATAGATCTTTTTTATCATTTGATCTTCTATTCCTAGGATTTTATCTAATTGTGTATGCTCTAATTTTATCCATGGTTCTTTTTTGCCTTTTCTGTGTCGCGACTGTATTTGTAAGTATGCCCACCATTCCAACTCTATACCATCTTCTGATAATCTTTTCCTTGTTTTCAGATCCCCATTCTCGTCTAAAATATCTTTGTATGTAATTACTTTTCCTAAATTTACGAATTTGGGGTGCATGAATGTCTCTAATATAGATAGCCAATTGGGAATTTTTATATAATTATTTTTTTTAATTTTTGTCCACACGTCTAATAGTGCCCGTCTAATATGATGATTCTGAAAGTACTGATGAGCCTTATATTTCCCATCCCACATTATAGCATGCTACCCTATTTGCATATCATCGCCTTCTAATGCCAGTAGTCTTCTATTCTTTAAGTCAGCGGTTCTCAACCTATGGGTCGCGACCCCATTTGGGGTCGATCGACCATTTCACGGGGGTCGCCAAGCAAGGCTGTCCGCCATTTTCCCCCCTTTTCCGGCAGGTGCCTTACCTCCCTTGAGCTGGGCCAGCTGGTGGTCGGCCTGCTCCATCTCTGCTGCTTGCCAGCTACGCCTCTGCCGGCGCAGGGGGCGGAACCACGCATGCGCAGCACTCCTGGGCAGGGAAAGTCCTCGACTTACAACCGGTTGGGTAGCCCTCGACTTACGACCGGTTTAGTCCTCGACTTACGACCGGTTGGGGGTCGCGGCATTAAAAAGGTTGAGAACCACTGTTTTAAGTGTATCCAATCCTTTATTCATACCAGTGTTGCTGCTTGATAATATTTTTCCCAATTCGGGAGGCCGAGCCCTCCTCTTTCCTTCGCATCCTGTAATAATTTTAATTTAATTCTCGGTTTTCTACCTTGCCAGATAAATTTGGATGTAATTCTGTTTAAATTTTCAAAAAAATCCTTGCCTAATTTAATTGGTCCTTCTCTCTTTCTTACCTACCGTACCTACCTTGTACTGTATGAAGTTACCTGACCAACCCTGAGCTATCTTCTTCTTCTTCTTGTGCCATATCCGTTATCGGATATGAGCTATACCAATGTTTTAACATGTTTTCCCTATTACTGTACTCCGAGACTCTCTTCAACCACAGCAGCTCCCTACCCTTCCCAAGAGGAGAGTGACGCAGAGTTAACGATTTCTGGAAGTTAATTTCCAGAAAAGCAAGCAATGAATCAGACTTTTTACAACCTTAAACCTTCTAGAAGGTCGAAGCAGCTTGCAGACAACTTCCTTCTTCGTCTCCTTTTTTTTTCTGATGCAACGGCCTCTCTTCTTGCACGCTCGACGGAGGCTTCCTTTTCCCCTCCCCCCGCCCGGCCGCTCGTTTCCTCGCTCGCCGATCCTGACGCAACCTGCGAGATCGCTTACAAGTACCTTACACAGAAGGCTTTGGGAGATCGGGAAGCGCTAGGACCCGGCGGGAGTCTCCGCCTCTGCCTGGAGCCTGGAAGCTCCCGGCCCTGCAAAATTCACCGTCCCCGACCTTCCTCTGCCGAAGCGAGAAAGTCGCGCTGAGCAATCGCGCCAGAATTTCCACCTTCTGCCAGGGAAAAGCTAGCGCAAAGGGTCGTGTGAATGCGCCTGGCGCGTTGCCGATTCTCATTGCGAACCCATCCCGCATGCTGGACCCTGCTGGGGGAAGGATTACTGTGAATTTGGGGCTCGGCCCCGGGAGGGGAATGAAGCAGATTCTGGGCAAAAGCAAAACAATTTGAACTAGATGAGCTTTCCGGGGATGCTAGATCTTTCCAGACACGTCTTCTTTTTTTTTAAATGTCTTTTTTTTTTGTTTTGACAAATGCAACGCTGGGCTCCGCTTCAGGGCAACTGTTGCTCCAGTTCGAGCACAGTGGCAAGTCTTTTGACACAGTTTAACTCCTCGCCCCCCCCCCCCAGTTTTGACTCGCTTCATGTTTCCATTTAAAAAGAGATGAATGGTATTAAGGCCCAACTTTGACCGCCCGACCCCTTTGCGAGGGAAAAGGTTCAGGCCGTCCAAAGATTTAAGCGTGAAAAACGAGAAATCAATCCAGCATCAGGAGAAAAATCGGAAGATGGAGAGAGAGGTTTGTCTCTAATCAGTACATACACGTGAACAAACACGCTACACGCAGCGAGTGGAACTAGGTGTGTGAATCACAGGCGTCGGCCATCCACGGGGAGGAAACAAACCCTAATCGATAGGGTTTTTCTCTAGCCAAAAAAAAAAAGTTAGCATAAACAAAGGGTCAGTTGGTAAGCTTAGATACAGTGTTTCTCAACCTTGACCATTTTAAGGCATGTGGACTTCAACTCCCAGAATTCCACAGCCAGCATTGCTGGCTGTGGAATTCTGGGAGTTGAAGTCCACATGCCTTAAAATGGTCAAGGTTGAGAAACACTGGAATATAGTCGCGACTTCTTAATGCATCCCAGATCGGTTCACGCGTACTTTGACCCGAACTAATCAACTTGCCTCCGACGCGTGAATCCCATTAAGCTGTACATAAGCCGAACTTTATATCGTAAGAACGTTGCTTGCTTGAGCGTCATTCCCTTGAGCCCATTATGGCCTTAGCCAAAAATGCTGGCTTAGCCCAAATTAGGGTCCATTGGAAAGAAAGGCGGAGGGGCCCTCTTTGCTTTTTCAGCCCATAAGTAAGTTTTACAATCGTGGTAACTTCGCAGAACAAGGGAACAAATCGGTTTTTGTCGGGCTCAATTTCCCGAGATCTCCTCGCCAAGCCAATCTTGGCTCCACCGCCGCACTAAATGTGAGGCATGCACAGAAAGCGAGGAGCAAGCCAGCCTCCCCCTGGCCCGTCTGGGGGTGTCCGCTTCCCACTGCGAAGTCCCAACTAAGTTCTACGCAGCTTGGCGTGGAAAGCAAGGGTTGCGTTCAGAAAAGCAGGATAACTCGAGTTTTCTAGGCTGCCGGAGCACCGGGTTCCAACGAGCGGGGTGGGATGGGGGGGGGAAGCAGCCCTCCCCTCCCTTCCTCTCCTATTGTTCCACAGGCCCCGGGCCTTTCCCCCTCCCCGTGCGCGCCGCTTCCCCCCCCCGCCCCCCAACATCCCAGTTTTCAACCCCGTCCGGCACGAAAAAGAGGTGTGTCCCGGGCTGCTGTAACCGGGCAGGAGAGAACGTTGCGAACGTGCAGCCGCTCGCGATTGGCCCAGCCCGTCCTCCCGGCCGGCCAGTCAGCGGCAGGGGAGCGAACGAGCAGAAAGGGGTGAGCGTGGGCAAGGGGCGGAGCTTCCGCTTGACCTGACTATTTAAAGGCGGAACAGGGGGCTGGGAGCGCAGTGCCAAGGAAAGGGCAAAGGGAGAGCAGGGAGGGGGGGGCGAAGCTTTGTGGATTGACAGGCTTCTTTTTTTAAAAAAAACAAAAAAACCTAAATTATTCTTTATACGCCTTGTTACGATTCAGGGTTTCCGCTGCTAGTCCTGAGAAGGGTTGGGGTTTTTTTTTTGCACACACTCGACAGGCGTCCTGCAAGCCGGTAAGCACCTCTTTTAGTCCTCTTTTTTGGGGGGGCGGCGGGGGGCGAGCGCTGCTTGGCGAGGTCTCTCTGAAGACTCTCCGGGTGTTCCTGGCTTGATCTTGGCCTGGCCTGGCCACGATCCCCACCGCTCCAGAAGGTGACTCCGCGGAGCTGATGGTCCTCCTTCTTCCTCCTCCTCCTCCAGAGTCGTTTCTCCGGCCGCCGGTTCCAGCCCTCCAACCTGCAAGCCCGGGCGCTCCGTCGAGGAAGATGCCGGTGTCCTGGGACAGCTTCCCTTCGTTGCCTCCCATTCCGGAGCAGAGGGAGAACCCGGCGGCGCCTGCCTTTGCCTGGGAGAAGAGCGCCTACAAACAAGAAGCGGCTAGTCGCACCGCCAGGCTGGAGAACTCCGATTGCGAGTCCCTGGACAGCAGTTTGAGCTCCGAAGGAGGTGAGACCCGGCTGCCTTGGCACCCTTCCCTCCCGTCTAGCGCCTTCTCGATGGGGCTGGACTACAACGTCCATCGTGCTGAGCGCATAAGTTGGTTAGGCATCGCTCTGGCATCCTACCGAGAATGTTTTGATTCCAACTGATCTGCAATTCGCTCAGCACGATGGGAATTGTAGTCCGCCCCCTTTCGAAGGCGCTAGGCGCAGGGGTAGGCAACCTTGGCTCTTTTATGACTCGTGGACTTCAACTCCCAGAATTCCTGAGCCAGCCATGGCTGGCTCAGGAATTCTGGGAGTTGAAGTCCACGAGTCATAAAAGAGCCAAGGTTGCCTACCCCTGCGCTAGGGTTTTGGAGAGTCTTAAGGAGGAGGCCAGACCAGAGGCCGCCCACCTTTTAGGCTTCCTGCTGTCTTGCTTTTAGAGATCTCTTAAGCTTCAGCTGACACTGGAAATCCCTGCTGTGGTTTTGCTCCGGGAGTTGAATTTTCTTTGTTGTGGGGGAGAAAGATGTGTTTGTCTATACGTGCATGAGACTCACTGGGCTGCTTTGATTCTCGTTTTCAGATGCCCCGGAATATCTGGATGAAGTGTCCTTGCCAGACTTCGATTTGCTAAACGATCCTGAGGATGAGCTCTTGTGCGCCAATCTCATGAAGCTCATCCAGGTCACTCTGAACAAAGCCAAGCTCTACTCCAACCGCCCCTCCCGCCTCGTCATGCCCAATGAGCTGGTCGCCCAAGTGAGCAAGGAGCTGCTCCACCTGGCTTACCGAGAGCCCTGTGGCTTGAGGGGAGCCCTCATCAATCTCTGTGTGGAACAAGGAAAGGCGTGCCACAGCGTGGAGCAGATTGCTGTGGATCCAAACCTGGTGCCTACTTTCCAGCTGACTCTTGTTCTGAGACTGGATTCCCGCCTGTGGCCTAAAATCCAGGGACTGTTTAGCTCCGGGTCTGCTTTCTCTCCAGGCTTCAGTCAGTCCCTGAAGCTTAGCACAGGCTTTAGGGTCATCAAAAAGAAGTTGTATAGCTCTGAACAATTGCTCATAGAGGAATGTTAAAAATATCCTCTTAGGTTGGACCAACTGAGCATTTACTCTTTAAGTTGGGGCCATTCCCAGCCCAAACTGGGGAGGTATGTTACCTAAAGGGCTATGGAGCATAAGCTGATTTTTCAAGAAGTGGTTGTCCCTCTAGAACCACAGTAGGTTAGATTAGATGGAAATTTGTTTTACAGCAATAGTGGGAGATAGTCTGAAGAGAAGGCAGAAGGCAACATTTGACTGTAAGAACAGCACTCTGCTACTTAACTCTGACCAGCAACAAAGCTCACTCCTGTGTAGGCCTGGATACACTATGCTAGCTTTAAAGTCCTTGTCTGCCAATGGGATGACTTTCTCTTACTGATTTAGCAGTATTTTTTTTCCTGACAGCTGATACCTTTACAGCAGCAGGGCTGCCGCTAAAGATAGATGAAGGTTGCCTTTTTTTTTCCCTGTTAAGCTTTTAAAAAACAACAAATGGGAAGAAAAAAAAAGTAGATAGTAATCAATGGATGTCTGGTGAAAATTTGGTGTGTGTTAATAAGTGTTAAGGTCTAAAGGACCAAGCATGTGTAACATTAATAGAGATGAATGTGAAGACGTTCCACTACTGACACTTGGGCAGCTAAAAGAAGGCAGCTAAATATAGACTTCTGGCTGAATGTGGGGGGGGGGGGATTTAATCCACTGAGCACCGCTGCGCAACTCCATTTTTTTGTGAATGAGACCAGTGGGAGGAACAGGGCAGTAGGTGAACTGAGCCCTGTCCATGCTTAGAAATCCTGGGGATGTATAAGGGAAGTGTAAGGTGATGCTAAGAAGTTTGCGATGGGGGCAGGACCCCTCGCGGTCAGTCTCTGGTGCTTCCGTTGATTACCGTTTCACGTGAAATACACTTGATGTTCAAGTTTTTGAAGAATTTCTATGCAACTTGGTTTTTTTACTTTCCTGATAAAAACATTTTGTAATAACTTGCTGCTTGTTCTTGTTTTTATTGGCTAATTTCTAAGCAATTGAGGAGGGAAACAAAGGAAGGGAATAGGCGTTCTGCTCAGTGGGAAGATCTGGCCCTGTTAAAGGACCTTCACAATGCTAGTTTCTTGCTTGTTCACCATAATAGAAGTTAGCATTAAAAGATGGGAGACCATATAACACGATTAAGCTATCAGTTACTTAGTCTATTGTTCATTTTTCTTCCAAACTTAAACGAGTGCTAAGCAATAGGTTATATGATTTTTTGACTTCAGGTCACTAAGAAGATACTTTCTCTACCCAATGGAACTAAATTTCAAACTCCCTGCGGAAATCATGGAAGATAGGGTATTTCCTTCCAATTGCGCTTGTTCTGGAGGAGGCTGTCAAACCCACTGACTGGAATTAAAAGTCCAGAAGCTTAAACTGATGTTTGCCTCTTCGTCACATTCCCATGTAGATATCACTCCAGAAAGCTTACTTTATAAAGTCTGGGGTTTTTTTTGCTACAAAATGTTCCAGAAAGAAGCAATGGGACCTTTTATTATGTGCAATGCAGACTTCAACCTCAGCAGGTGTCCTTGGGGAAAACAACATTAATTATAATGGAGAGTAGAACTGGGATTCTAAATTAGTTCAAAGCACTTAGTCACCCCCCTGAGTTTGATGTGAATTCCTCAGTTTCCATGGATAATTCATACCTTCAGAAGTACATGTGCATCTGATCATGTTAACCAATAGCACAGTGGTTCTCAACCTGTGGGTCGGGACCCCATTTGGGAGCGATCGACCATTTCACGGGGGTCGCCAAGCAAGGCTGTCTGCCATTTTTTTGTCCGCCATTTTTTTCCCCTTTTCCGGCGGGTGCCTTACCTCCCTTGGGCTGGGCCAGCTGGTGGTCGGCCTGCTCCGTCTCTGCCGCTTGCCAGCTACACCTCGGCCGGCGCAGGGGGCGGAACCACGCATGTGCGGCGCTCCCGGCAGGGAAAGTCCTCGACTTACGACCGGTTGGATAGTCCTCGACTTACGACCGGTTTAGTCCTCGACTTACGACCGGTTTAGTCCTTGACTTACGACCGGTTGGGGTCGCGGCATTAAAAAGGTTGAGAACCACTGCAATAGCACAATACAAAAATAGTATCGGGTGACATTTCCTTTACATGTATATAAACCAATCACATTACTGAAGTAAGCAATGTTATTGCAAGTGAAGAAACTGAGTAAGAAAAGAATAACAGGCATGGGTATAAGACAACTGAAAATCTATACCAACACCATTATACTTAACGTTTGCAAACAATCCTTTCTTCCCTGCGTCCATATATCAGTTCATAACCTTGCATTCTGTTCTTCAAACTTCTCAACATAGCTGTGTATCGGGATGGGTTGACTGACAAAATTGCCAGGATGTATGTTTGGTTTGGCATCATAGTTGGAAGCAGGTCCCTTTGCATTTTATGGGTGTGAGTGAGCAGGGAAGATCTCAACCCCCTCCATCCATCACTTTCTTGAGTCTTCCCCTATTCATCAGCTCCATCCAACAGTCTAGAACTTAAGGAGAATTTTTCTGTCAGTAAGAACAATCAACCAGTGGAACAGCTTGCCTCCAGAAGTTGTGGGTGCTCCATCACTGGATGTTTTTAAGAAGAGATTAGACAGCCACTTGTCTGAAATGGTATAGGGCAGGGGTCTTCAAACTTGGCCTTTTTAAGACTTGTGGACTTCAACTCCCAGAATTCCTCAGCCAGGCACGCTGGCTGAGGAATTCTGGGAGTTGAGGTCCACAAGTCATTAAAGGGCCACGTTTGAAGACCCCTGGTATAGGGTCTCCTTTGAGCAGGGGGTTAGACTAGAATACCTACAGTGGGGGTGGAATTATTTGATCCCCTGCTGATTTTGTATGTTTGCCCACTAACAAAGAAATGATCCATCTATAATTTTAATGGTAGGTTTATTTTAACAGAGAGAGAGAATAACAACAACAACAAATCCAGAAAAATGCATTTCAAAAAAGTTATAAATCAGCAGGGGATCAAATATTTTTTTCTCCCACTGTACAAGGTCTCTTCTGACTCTGCTATTCTGTTAACTTTAAGTGTTTCTCATCTGCACATCTTAATGTTTCTTCATCCATTTCCTCATTTTAGTAAACATTCTGCCAAGATAAAAAAAAAAGTTCATCTTTATAACTTTTATAATTTTTTATTGAAACTTTTTACATATGTAATAAATGTAAAGGAAAAGTATAAGACAAAAGAGAAAAGAAATAAGAAAAAGGGGGAAATAGTGTGAAGAACACAGGAAACAAGGAAAAAATGTAAAACACAAATCAGAAAAAGAAAGCAACTTCAGACCGTTTTTTTCAACAGTTATAAACAAACTCATCATTCCACCTTCCTCTTTAACACTACAAAAATTCCTTCAGCCCCCTATTTAATCCTTTTTTCAAGTATTAAATCAGCAAATCAATGCTTTTTTCCATTTCTGTCGTAGAAATGGAAAAGTGCTTTATAAGGAACTTGTTTTATCTCCGAACATCCTTATGTATAACTGATAAAAGAGAATATTTGTAGCTCCAAGTTGAAATGAGAGGGTGCTTTCTGAACTTGGTTGTTTTCTTGTAGATGTTTCATTATCCAGCTGGGTAACATCAGGGCGGAAACATCTGCAAGAAAACAACCAAGCTCAGAGAGCATCTATTCCTTATGTATAACTTTTAGACATTAACTCTGTTTCCCCTGTCAAACACAACTATCTTGCTCTTTAATCATTGTTCAGAACCATTTTCCTGGTTGCATTGTACAATTGAATGTTTGCTACAAGTAATTCAGATTCTATCCAGCAGCATAAATTTTCTGCAAACAAAAGAAGATATGTATATATCTTCCCAACCAAACACACTCCTTATGTCCCCACAAATACTCTTGACAATTTATCTATGAATTTATTAAACATCCAAGAGAAGATCACATATCCTTGACTTATTCCCTGCTCTGTACTGAATCATTCACTATACCATTTTTTTTGCACTCAGCAGCTAATCTTCATATTCCTACAAAATATTCCATAACTCAAGCCTCTTCACTTCATCATAAACATTCTCTAAATCAGCAAACACCATATATTAGCTTTCTCACATTTATACGTTTCTCCGTGGCCTTACAGAAGAGAAAAAAAAATCTGTGGGACGTTGCTTGCCTTGCCTTTCTCAAATGTTACTCATATTATAAGTTTCTACATTTTCAGTCAACATTCTGCCAAAAGTTCTCAGATGCACTTTGCAAACTAATCCCCTGTAGTTTTCGCAGGCATTCTTGCTTCCTCTCCATTTTTATAAGGGAACAATAAAAGCATCCTTTGAATTGTCAGACCACAGTGCTAGCCTTTAGGCAGCCATTTCATAAGCAAGTCACATCCGTATTTTATCCAGTTAGACCAGGGATGTCCAACCTTGACAACTTTATTTATGGACTTCAGTTCTCAGGCTGTCTGGGGAATTCTGGGAGTTGAAGTCCATGGATTTTAAGTTGCCAAGGTTGGACACCCCTGAATGGACTATCCAATTTCATTTCCACTCTTCCACATATAATTTTCATTCTCAATAACATCTCTAAAATACTCTTTCCAATATTCTCTCACTTTCATCCTAAATACTTTCATCCCTTTTAATTTTTAACAGAATAAGAGAGTAACAGAATAACAGTTGGAAGGGTCCTTTGATGTCTTCTAATCCAACTCCTCCACACACACACCCCACTTAAGCAGGAGACCCTCTACCATTTCAGACACATGGCTGTCCAATCTCTTCTTAAAAACTTCCAGTGATGGAACACCCAGAATTTCTGAAGGCAAGCCTTTCCACCGATTAATTGTTCTCGCTGTTGGGAAATTTCTCCTTCTTTCTAGGTTGGCTCTCTCCTTGGTAAGTTTCCATCCATTCCATTCCAGGTCCTTGTTAAGTTGTCCTGCCTTCAGGTGCTTTGAGGCTAAAACATACATAGAACGGTTGCAAGAATTGGGATATCTAGTCCAGGGGTAGGCAACCTTGGCTCTTTCAAGACTTGTGGACTTCAACTCCCAGAATTCCTGAGCCAGCCATGCTGAGGGGAAAGGGAGAGGTTTCCAAGCTGAGCCACGCTGGCTCGGGAATTCTGGGAGTTGAAGTCCACGAGTCATAAAAGAGCCAAGGTTGCCTACCCCTGATCTAGTCTAATGAAAAGAAGGACTAGGGGTGGCATGATGGCAGTCTTCCAAACAGGATTTCAAGAAGACACTGGCCAGCTATTTGTCTGGAATGTTATAGGGTTTCCTGCTTATAGGCAGTCCTTGGTTAATGACTATTCACTTAGCAACCATTCAAACTCACAACAAGGCTGAATGAGTGATACTTACGACTAGTTCTCAAAGTTACGGCTACAGATGATTCACTTAACAATGGTAACCAGAGACTGTCATGGATCCACCCCCGGGCCCCTCTCTGGATGCGAGTTCAGAGGAGAGGGTGAGTTTGAGTTGGCAGAGGAAAGCACAGATGCAAGTGATGGCCCACATTGGGGCTCAGAGAGAGCTAGCCTGACAGAGCAGCCTCAGCTGGGTCAATTGGATGAGCCACAGACTGAAGCTGAGGGAGACGAGCCACAGCTGCAGCAAGTTGGCCAGGTGAGGAACAGGTGCAGTTGCTGCCTGTTGGTGTGAGGAGGAGGAGGAGGTGGAATCCACACCTCCTCCCGATCCAAGGTCACATAGGGCAGAGAGGAGACAGGCACAAAGCTGGTCATCTAGGCTACTCGCAAGGAGGCAACCTCGCTTCTCGTGAAGGGCTGTACCCGCATTGCCTACTTAATCCCACCCGGAGGGTTTGAGTGTTTCTGGAGCAACATGCCCAGTTCCATTGTGTACTCATGCCATGTATCCTGTCCTGTTCGACTCATGGTCTGCTTTCCTGGACCTCATGTGTGCCCAGTGACTCTCACCGTGCTGAGCTTGGAATTCG